ATTTGTTAGCAATTATCGCATTTTTTTGTGGTTATTGTATTTTGTTAGTTAGCCAGCTATTTGTTGCTTTATTTTAATGATTGTCACCTGAGCCTTGAACAACTTTCTCAGGCTTTATTAAGTTTCACCCGTGGACAGCGCTACGATTTTGCTTATGACTTTTGGAATTGTTTGCCATCAGCGGATTTTCTGCGCATCGTGCATTGAATTTAATTGAATTGTAAGTGAAGGTATGATAAATGGTTATAGGCAACAATTTTAATGTTTTTTTAATATGCATTTTTTCTGGACTTTGTGGAACAAGACAAGTTGCAGAGTTTCACTGGGTACTGCCTATACAATTGAATGTCACCTATAGTACCTTAATAATTTGTAGTTTTTGTTGCGACTTTCAAATGGTTTTATCAATACTCAAAACACAAAGATTAATAACAAATGCTCTTGTCAGTATATCCTAGAAACAAGTTTCTTGCTTAAGTATTAATTATTTGAATAATTATTTCCTTTTTTTCTTTATGTTTCTTTCAATAATATAACGTAGGAGTAAAAAAAAAGCCTAACAAAGCCCAGAGCACCATTTCTCATCGAAATATATGTAATTTTCCAAAAATACCATAAACAAGTTTTTTGCTCAAGTCTTTTGTTTTCTCAAGGCGCTGTGTTCGTTTTCAGCGTGACTCAAAATAAATCATACAATATAAGAGTAGGATAGGAAAAAATCAAATATCATTGTGGGCCACCTTCAACTTCGTTTGACATTTGAAAGTAACCGACAGCAAACGGCATAGAAATATGCAAAAACGAGTTTGCAAAAATGAACGCAAGTCGACAAAGTCACTCTCAATTTTCACGAGCTCTTCATTTGTTTTTGGAAAGCCACGCAGCCACTCATTGCTTAATTTAAATGGAATATAAAGTAAATAGCGAACAAAAAATCCTAAATTCAACTTCAAACTGGTTGAGGCTGTTGACTTTATCAGACCGGGGCTCCATTTACGGGCCACAAAAAGTCGTTACTCGTATTACCCGCCACCGTCCAACGCCTTTTGTGGGTTCTACAAAAGCGGCCAAAACCCCCCGCCCCAAAGTCCCCATCCTTCTGGTGGGTGTTTTGTGTATGTGCCACGCAATTGTGCGGTGAGGTAATTAATAAGCCAACAACAAGCCAATTGAAACCGAACGTTGCGTCTTGTTGCACCTCTACAACTCGGGCCGGGCATACTAAGTAGCCGCCGATAGTTGGCTCACTTGGCTCGGTTTGCCACGGCTTGGTTTGGCTCAGTTCGGCTTTATTTCATTACTGACCATACCCAAGATGAGTTTCGGTTAACTGTCGTAGGGCTTCGGTGTTTCTGAGCCCTTCGCAAGTGCAAAGGCACCGAATCACACACAAACGAGCCAAAATGTACAAATTGCAGGAGTCGTGTTTCAGCAATGAAGGGTGTTCTAGTTGTAGTAGTAGTGGGGCCTCAAATAATTGCATTATACAAATTGTTGTATATACAAAATATGTATTTTGTATTTTCCTCTACCAAAGTAAATTAAATACAACTGTTCCACTGATTTTCCCTGTTTACTACGGATTTCTCTGTTCTCTGGATTCCATTGAGATCATCCTATAACCAAACATTCCATGCCAATCCATTCAGTACTTGGTGTGTGCTTGCATTCCGAAAAACACACTTCATGGGGTTTGGAGTTTGCAGATTGGCGAGGCCATAGCTCGATAGTAGACCCCATACCTAGACAATATTTCAGAAACGGCAACTGCAACTTCAGGTTGTCTAACAATTTTAACCCAGTTTTGTTTATATCTTTTTTCGTTTCGTTTTCTTGCTTTCCACATTCTTGTAGGAGCCATAAACAAGTTTTTTTCTTGGCCCGAGCCGATGGAAAAAATGGCTGGAACATAGAAGCAGAAACGAAACAGAGTTTGGTGCGCAAACTGCAAATTGCAAATTGCAAATAGCAACTAGCAAGCAGCAAATTGAAATCGAAGCTAATGAAAAGGCCAAGTGGCGTAAAAGAAGAGGAAGCAATTGCCACATTGATCAAGTTACAAATCGGCCCTCTGCGAAAGAGGATGTGTGTGGTCAAGCATTACGGTTGGGAAATGGGGGTCAATAGGGATTTACGGTTAGGCATGCGAGGCGGCTAAGTAGGTGCGGAAATCGCCGGCCATTGGTAATGGGACCACTGGACGATTAACCATCGTCTTCTGATGACTCGGTATCGAATGGCCCGGCGCATTCTATTCTCGTGTGGATGATGCTCCGTCGATGGTCAAGAGTGGGTCAGCAAGTGGATGGGCTGGCTGCAAATGGGAACGAGCTTGACGGCCGAGGTTTGTCACGTTGGTTACAGTTATTGGAAGCGGTTCACTTTCCGGACATTCAAGCCGCTAGCTTCACAAAGTGTTATCAATTATACTGCAATTTGTTCGGGAATGCTCAGGAATTCGAACAGATAATAGAACAGTGAACAGTGAAAAATGTAGATGAAAGTACAGAACAAAAAAACTTAAAAATCAAGGCAAAAAATCATTATATTTGAAATGAACTGATTTTATTGGTTCAGCATTGAATTAATTGAAAATCTGTTGGCTGAAGCGTATTTATTTCCCAATACTTTAATAATGCTTAAAATATCTATAAATATTATGGGATTTTACATTTTTAAAAAGTTACCAATTAAAAAATATTTTTAAAAATTAATTGATTTTCATTAAGATTTATTTATATGTTATATAAATTTTCTAAAATAATATTAGCATTATGATAGATCATATAAGCTTGACTTGACACAAAACTGACTCATGAGAACTGGTTCCAATTCCACACCCACATTCCTTAAAACCAAGTGACATAATACAGAAATTAAGAGACTGGCAAAATAAAATCCCAAAATAACCCATATTAGCGAGTTTTATGATTTTCCAACCATTTCTTTTTGACAATTTCAAGCCAACGCTAAATAAAAGTCATTCACAAAAAACTGGTCAACTAAATACCGCTCTATCACGTATTCGACTCTGTTAAGAAGTGCGGCGAAAAGGGGACTAACTTTGTTAATGCCTTAGTGTAAAATATATTTGAAGCGACCATTCAAAAGTTCAGTGACCTTCGTTCCAGCTACTTGGGCAGTTTTCTACCGCCTCGTGTCTGATTGTTCTACACTTGTTGTTCAGTAGTTTCGGCTTAGTTTTTCCTCGCCGGCGGCTATTTACACGGTGTCAACTCACTCCAAAGTCACACATTTTTCCAAGTCATGATCCGGAGGTACTAGCTGCACTGAGAGAAACAACCGATATTTTTGTAAACGTTTACCTGCATACAACATACAAATTCCTCTTGAAGTTATTCCAAATATGTTATGAAAACATTCAAGGAAATTAAATACTCTAATATGTTTAATGATTGTAGGTGCAATTACTGTGATAGGCATATAAATCATATACTTCAAGAGGCAATCTTTTTTTTGAGTGCAATGCTAAGGGAACTCCACAACAGAGTTGAAGTGAAATGGTATGTTTGTGCTTTGCGGATGGGGCTCCCGTAATGACGTATTATATTAACTTGGCTGTGCACCTGCCAGCTGACTAACTGTTCCGCGGCTCGTGGTCTCGTTTACTTGAATGCCCTTCTGCGTAATTTTCACACATAAAAGACTCGTTAAAATGTTTCATAAACATTAAAAAGTCAAATTTATGATCTCCTTTTATTCGTTCTTTTCGCTTTGACTTGGTTTAGGTGAAATGCTTAACGGTTCCGCATCTTTGCTATGGGGCAAAAATCTTGGAGAAAGAAAACCAAGAGAATAGCGAACGGTATTGATAGATTTTAGAATTCTTTGCTCTAGGCTGGAACTAAAGATCTGCCCTAATGGCATATTAATTGACCAACAATTTTGTGGACTTTATGTGGCTAATAATGCGCTTGAGTCTGCCGGTTTCAACAGATGTTGATAGATGTGTTTCTTGATGGCCGTTGACACAATTATCGGTGCTTAATCATAACCTTGAATATGGTGATGGCATTTAGTAGTATTGCTATTTTTGGGCATAATTAAGATTTGAGGTGTACCTCAAAGTAAATTAGCTTGATTGATTTGAATTACATAAAAATTGAGTTGGAATTGGCAAAAGATCTCCATATTTTATTATGATATAGCGATTACTTGCCTGCTTTTAATTTTAATTTAACTTTAAATGTACTAACTACAATTTTCATAGCAACATAAATGCTCTCTACAGTTTTGCAAGTGTCTTACCATTTTTTTTTCTACCTGCTTTGGGCTTCCAAAAAGGCAAAGACTTATCAACAACTTTAGCTCACGTCCATCTTTCCATCTTCATCGCCAGCAATAAATCTGCCTACGTTTTGTAAATAGCCAGCTTAAGGCTCAACTAATTGCCTGCCATACTTCATTTATTTTTGTAAAATATCTTGTCCGAAAAACGAAGCAATTACAAATTATACGATTAAGAGCGGTACGCGGGGCGTTCGTTCCACTTGAGAAGTGTTGAGCTCCAATTAGCGGCAGACAATTGGCAATAAGCCGGCTACTCGCAGATTTTATATTTTATTTTAGCCAAAACATCAACAATGGCAACCTTGACATTGGGAAACAAATGGTGGGGGAAAGATGCGCAGCGACTTGGAAAGTTAACAACAAGGGCAAAGGCTCGGGGAATTTTGAATGAACTAAACCGAAACGGTTAACTGATTGAATATTTGAACGTGCCCGTATTGCATGCCAAAATATGCAAAGCAAAAAAATATCACAACTGTAAATAAACAATCGAAACGCCAAGCTGAGTAAAATGAATCACCGAACAAGTTTCAGATTGAGAATATCTTTTAGATGCGAGATGAGCTCACTGCCCAGAGCGGTGGCGGTCAATGCCGTTAATAGACATCGCAAACGAGTTAACAAATGGATATGCAAAATTAAATAAAAACTAAAACGGGCACAGGTTATTAAAATCAATTTGTTCTTACCTTTTTCGTTGTCTGTTGAGAGGATTCAGTTTGTTCGGTTGATTTTTGGGCACTTGCACAGATGGCAAATAAAAACATTTGCAGATTTTAGCAAAACACTTATTTTGATTTATTTTGAATTTGCTGGCATATTTCACTTTAGTTTCATTAGTTTATCGCACTAAAAATCAGGTGGAACTTTTGGTTAGAGTTTTGAAAGCTTTCCCTTTACCCACTCCCACTGCGATCAATAAAATAATATTTTTCATCGCTCCTGCGGTTTCACTTCGGGCTAAATGGAAAAGCATTTACCCATCTTGAGGTCTTCGTTTTACATTTGGCTTTTCCAACCAGTCATAAGTCAGGCCAAGACTTTCAATTAAGCGGCTTAAAGACAAACAACGGCAACGAAAATCGTGTATGTCGGTGGGTAATAGAGAAAAGATGCTTATGAGCCGTATGTAAAGAGTATCTATGTATCTTCCCGACTTCTTTCTCTTTGGTAAAAGTGTAAAAATTACGCTACGACTTGCGCTTTCACAAAACTAACAAAAAAGCGAAGCGGAGATTTTTTCTTCTTTCCGTCTTTGATTTATGCATTGCGTTTGCGATGAGGATGAAAAGATACGTAGATACATTGCTTGGAAAACATCCACACACGACTCGAACGGCAGAGCGACTGGCAGATTTCGGGTACTCCTATACCTTAAGTTCCGGGTTGAATGCGCAAAAAAAACTGGCTAGGTTTTGCATTTTCTGTTTTACTTTTGCTTAAATTTAAATTGCAGTTCGATTTAAAATAAATTAAAGTACACGCACAGTTGCGCAGCAACAATGGAAAACCAATGTGTGTGAAAGTACAAGAAGCAACGTGGAAAACATCGCCCATTTGGAAACGGAAAATTGTCAACGCACATTGAACTTGACAGACGAAGGAGAGCGCCTATCTAGCGACATAGAGAAAGAAAAAGACGGGGCGAGTGTGCGGCACATGCCTCAATTTACAGTTAAGCGCGGCAGACATCCACAAGATGCAAAACTCCAAAGATACTTTCGGCCAGCGGAATGCGAATCGCGGACGGCAAACTGCGAATTGCACTTGCCGCGGCAACTTTTTCATCCGAACACGAAAAAACAACAATCTGCACGCAGAAAAAGAGGTGATAACATTTCAAAGCGAAGAAAGGTAACATAACAAAATAAGATATCTGATATTTAGATAAAAATTAAATATTACATTTTTTAAAACAGCTAAAACTCAACTTTGTGAGGCTCAGCATATAGAAGAAGTGGATCCATCTTGTATTTTACATTCTGGAATGACTTTGTAGCGAGCAATTTCTAGCAGTGCAACAACAAAAAGTGAAGGGGCCCCAAAGCAAACGTCACCGAATCCCTTCCCCTCCCCTTCTTTCCCCTTGCGGCCGATCCTTCCTCGAGTATCTATGTGTGTGCCTCAAAAGATCAGAGTGTGTTTGTGGCGTCTCGTTTGTTGATGCGGTGGCTAATGGCTGCATATACATTCGTATGCGAAAAAATAAAGAAATATATGGACAAGGCCTGTCTAGTCATAGCGGTACTTTGAGTGGGCCCTCAAAGAGGGAAGGGGGAAAAAGGGGGTGGAGATTGGGGCAGCTAATGACTTGGCGCCCAACTGAAGGAAGTTGCCAATTTTTGCTGTTGGTTAACTAGTCGCAACTGGTGTTGATAAGTTTTTCTTTCCATTTCTGTAGGATCCACTTCGTTATTAATGGGCAATAAAATTCCATGAATTGTTTTAGGAGCCAATAAATTTCAGGCCTATTATGAATTAATAGAAGAGTTGAATTACTATGATTATTGGTGAACTGACTTCTTGAATGAAAAACCAGTATATAGAATAACAAAATTGGCTTCGAAAAATATATATTATTTATATTTTAAATTTAAATAACAATCAAGTTGAGCAGTTTAGTTTTCGCTTTGGCTATTGACATGTTATTTATCGCTCATAGAAATGAGATAATCTTATGAGATCACTTGAAATGCGATTAGCAGTGAGAAGTTCTTTATATTGATCAAACGTCATTTGCAATGTTATATTGATTTAAACCACTAAGAAGAGGAATAAAAACAGGCATCAATTTGACATAAAACATATTTTTATAAAGTTATGTATACTTTGCTTATAAAAAAATGTTATGTTATTATATATCTCGTTCAATTTCATATACGATTTCCTATCAGTTGTCGATTCTCCTAAATCAAACTTTCTTTTCCGCTTGTAAAAACATGCACCGTCTTGATGGCTTTTCGATTTATGCTTCCTCCTCTCAAACTGAACCCAAATCGATCAGTTTATCGCATCCACTCTCAAGCTTTCAAAACTTATCCACAATCAATTTACTCAAACACTTTGCCGTAATCTCTAATTCAGATCCAGCTCCAGTTAGCAGACCGTTACACAAAAGCACTAACACAAAACACTTGGCAGAGCAGCTCTCCTTACGTTTAACTTTAATTACTCAATTATTTGCTCGATTTTGTTGTTTTTCACTTCTTAAGTTGGAAATTAGCCGCGAAGTACGCAGAGCCAAAAGCGTTGTCCAACTGATTAGAGCGAGCGGGGGGCGGCGAGGGGCACCACGACGGTCATGTCGGATCTCGGATCGAATGGGAATAAACTCTATATCGTACTACTACAGCGCGCGTGTGCGAACGCGCAACGAACCAAACTCAAACTGACGAGCAAACTCCACTCAACAGAAATCCACGAGCGAGCAAACAGCAAATCCAAAGGCACGAGCAAAAGCAAAAAGACTGCGGCAAAGGAAAGAAAGAAGCGAAAAGTAAATCGAAAACCAGACTCAAAGCTCACCGAAAGAGAGCCACGGCGACCAGCTGATCAAAGCTTTCTCCCTTCTTGCCTTTGTATACCTCAGAATTTTAAAGCTGGTGATCTAGGGTGCATTTCATTCTCTTTTTTTGGTGCTGCGGCTGTAAAAAGAAGGGTACGTTGAATTTTTAAGCTGTATGATAGCACTTCTCAGATGTTATAAATACATGTATTCTTTGGAATCCATATATGTAAATTGTTGAAATATTTATTCTTCTGTTTCGTTTCAAAACTATAAGTGTATACTTATAAAAAAAACCATATAGAATGTAATAATATATTTTTAATATAAAATCCATAGTATTATTATTCTTACAATGAGTTACTTTTGCCAAACCTGTAACATAGTTGCCTTGGGAAATATAACATGAACTTTATCAGGGCGACCTCATTAAATTATTTGTCTATTTTCAAATGTCTTTTATTTGTAGATGTTTTCTTATTATACTCAGTGTGAGCCTGTTGACCACCTATGCCCAAAAAAATGTATCCATAATAGAAAATGGAAAGTGCTTGGACTGTAGAAAGGAAAATAAGGAACAGTGTCGGATTGCAGAGACAGGATTTAGTTGTTATGCAGGACATTTTTATAGGCGGTTTGGACATGGAAAAGGTGAATTCCCAAAAACAACCAAAAAAGTGGACGCATGCGTTGCACCCGGAATGGAAATCGGTATTAGAAGCATTTTAATAGTAATTCAAAAATCAATTTGTTAATTTTACAGATATTATAAATGCCAAAGTATGTTGCGTTTGGTCACCCGAAATCGGCTGTCAAATTCTGTTAACTGAAGATCACCAAGGCGAATTTTGCTTCACTTGCAGGGTCAAATTTAAAATGGAATACAAAGGCCTACTCTCCTGTCCGTGCCTAAAAAATGAAGGATCACGCCAAGCCTATGCGAAAACATTGATCGCCTTTATGTTTACATGTTTATTCATGGAATTAATATAATATGGAATTTTTCGCTGGGGCTCTAGCTTGTACATATCAAAAATGCTATGAGGTTTTAAGTACCGGGTAGGGAGGGCTCTACAATAAAAAATGGTTTATTGTATAACAATTGCAAACTAATTAGAAATATGCAACAATTGCTTTAGTACATACCACATAGCATCAGCATGATGTGATTTCTAAGGACTTCAAAAGCAAATAATAATATATAATATAATAATGGTATACAATAATAGAATAATATTGGTATATATATAGTATAATATAATAAAATAGTATTTTAATACGTGGTATTTATATTGCTTTATAACGTTTATAATGAAATTCAAAGAATGGGAAATAATTTGGTTTATTGTTTTTTTTTTGTTAATATTCAAGATTCACCTAATTCACGCAATTTAGACGTTTATTTTAGTCGTTTTATAAGTATCCTCTTATACCTCTTAGGCAGATGGTTCGGGTCCACGCTGAAGCCCCACCAAAGCATTGCACCACGGTTTTAGTCCATGGCCTAAGACAACGACATAAGTGTGGCCAACTATCCAGAAGCTACCCGCCTCACGACCAGGCGTTATTGGTATTCGGGAGAAATGTGTACACTTCTGTGCGCCCCCCCCTCATTCTTTGAATCCCCGCCTACGAGCCGCAAACGTTGCTGACGAAGAGTAAGTGCGAAAATTTCGAGCGAAAATTGCATAAGTTTTGGGATATCGAACTCGAAGTAGGCGAGCAGTGCGATAGGCTTCCTGAAAACAGACAAAATTTACGTGGTTGCTTGAAATCCTTTGCTTTTTGGGTAAATAGTAAATACAGCCTTGTAAGTCTGGGTGCGCGGAATATGGGCACGCCGTTATGTAACCTACAAAAGCGAAAAGCAGCTGATTAGCCAGCTATTTATAATTAGATAAAGCACATGTCGCCTCCGCGGTACATATATACGTAACTAATGGACGGTCTCTGTACTTTCAGCCGATCCCCGAACAAGAACAGAATCAATATGTTCTCCAGCTTCTTTGAAACTGCCCGGAACTCACCATTCCGCACCCCCCTGTCGACGGCTAGATGCGATGCCGCCGCCCCAGTGGTGGATCCCCAGCCGGTTGAAGGTCGCCAGATCGCCGCCGCCGCTACTCCGGTGGCCAACCAGCAGGACTCGTGCGAGTTCGGCAGCACCAAGTACTTCGCCCTGTGCGGAATCGGTGGCATCCTCAGCTGCGGCACCACCCACACCTTCGTGGTGCCACTGGATCTGGTTAAGTGCCGTCTGCAGGTCGACCAGGCCAAGTACAAGAATCTGGTGCATGGATTCAAGGTCACCGTGGCGGAGGAGGGCGCCCGTGGATTGGCCAAGGGCTGGTTCCCCACCCTGCTCGGCTACTCGGCACAGGTGAGATTGGGCTTCACTTGGTGGGTTGCATAATCGTCTGGAGGCGGATTGCATGCTCGTGACTCGGTCGGCTGACCTTAATTACACCGGTTCCGGGCTTAAAGCAGATACACGTGATTCCAATCGACGATGATAAGGAAGATGGATACTTAGGCTGCAATCGTTGTTTACCTTTGGCTAACCACCCACCTCTTAAGTTTTAAAAGGCTTTATAGTTATCGAAGATCTAGAAAAGAAGATAAAGTGTTACAATCTTGGATACTTCTGCAAAGTGGAAAGGAACTGTCAAGAAACAACAGGCTAACCCACCGTTTTGTATCTTTCAGGGTCTCTGCAAGTTCGGTCTGTACGAGTTGTTCAAGGTGAAGTACGCCGATATCATTGGAGAGGAGAACGCGTACCTGTACCGCACCTCCTTGTATCTGGCTGCCTCCGCTTCGGCCGAGTTCTTCGCCGATATCGCTCTGTCTCCGTTCGAGGCCGCCAAGGTCAAGATCCAGACTATTCCCGGATACGCCAACAACTTCCGCGAGGCCGTGCCCAAGATGCTGAAGGAGGAGGGCGTCAATGCCTTCTACAAGGGTCTGGTTCCCCTGTGGATGCGACAGATCCCCTACACCATGATGAAGTTCGCTTGCTTCGAGCGCACCGTGGAGCTGCTCTACAAGTAAGTCACACTACCTCTTCAGATATCCTCTAGTTTTCACGTTATGCAGAAGAACAGTGCTGTGTATAAAATCTCTATTTATATTTATATACTTATTTTATTTATATACATATATCTCTCTAATAGTAATAGTGCAAAGGTCTTCGTACACTTTTAATATTTGAATTTCTAAAGTGATTTGCTAATTGGTCAGACATAATACAATTATTCATAAGGTAATAATAAAATTTTAGCACGTCAGCAGATAAGAATGCCTTCGTATCTAATGGCACGCCAAAAAGAAAAAGTATTACAAAATCTTATCATGTTATATATATAAGAAAACCGTATCATTTTTCAATTCGTTTGTTACTTTGGATAGTTTGAGCCTTGTTAACTGATTCTTTGTTATTAATAGTTAATAGTTAGTTATTAATAGGTATGTTCTAAAACAGTTATTTTGGAGTTCAAACTAGCGGCTAGTCACTTAAAGCTGAAATGGGAAAACTAGAGCAAATCCATACCGTTCACAGTTCGGGTTGTCAAGCCCAATGAAACCCATTAAATCAATACTAATGATGCAACTTTTCTAGGTATGTGGTGCCCAAGCCCCGTGCCGACTGCACCAAGGGCGAGCAGCTGATCGTGACCTTCGCCGCTGGCTACATCGCCGGTGTGTTCTGCGCCGTGGTGTCGCATCCCGCTGATGTGGTGGTCTCCAAGCTGAACCAGGCCAAGGGAGCCAGCGCCGTCCAAGTGGCCAAGTCGCTGGGCTTCAGTGGCATGTGGAACGGATTGACTCCTCGTATTATCATGATCGGTACCCTGACCGCTCTGCAGTGGTTCATCTACGATGGTGTGAAGGTCGCCCTGGGCATTCCCCGCCCACCACCACCAGAGATGCCCGCTAGCCTGAAGGCCAAGCAGCATTAAGTGGGCTAGTCCAATCCATTACCTTAAGGCCAGAGTTCACTAGTTGGAGCGATTGTGGGCAGACCCAGGAGCAACATACTTTTACTTTCTAACGAATTTCGATATTAGTATAGCCCAATTGCCTTATACTTGTTTCTCAAAAAGAATACATTAATGTTGCGTGTGTGCCATTGCACATGTACATTCCAGAACAATACTTCACGCATTTCTCTAACACAGCAGTTATACACACCTTTTTATAAACACATCATACTATCTTTAAACGCTAAACATTCTATCGTACGCAACTAAGCTACACTCAAGTTCAAAGTATTTAATTCCATATATGTTCTGTTATACTATATGCTATATTTAACCCTATGTGTGTCTAGCTTGCGCTGGAAAGTATGTCCGTATGTTGTACCTTTGGTGGCCCGCCCCTTGTTATCTCCTCCCCGCTGCCCCACAGGCCACACATGCGAATATGATATTAATGCTGTTTCAATTGTCTGACCCGATACCCAAGAAAGCACTCTGAATAAATTAAATTATAAAATATAAAAACACTACCAAGCTGCGTTTTCTAATCTTGTGTATCTACGGGGAACTGGTTATAGCTTGGGACTTAGATCGCAGTAAAAAGCTCGTGGAGATAACCTCATGACCAATAAATGATCTCCCTGACATTGGAAATGGGGTTTAATGGCGCTATTACTAGTAGTGTGAGGTAACCGAACCAAGGTAAGATGATCACGAATAATTATTATATATATATAGTATATATGCTATCAATTGTCTTCATTTCTGCGTGAGCCATTTCAACTAGCTACAAGTACAAGTACCCAAACAATTCAAAATTTTGATCTATAGAGATTAGAGCAAATTTTTTATAAGGTATATTTTACCAAAAAGAAAATGGTAATGCTTATTTGGAACCATTTGGATTATCAATATTTGATATTTAGTGCCCCACAAAACTGTCGTTATTATTTAGTTTGAAAGTATTTAATTTATTTTCAATATTACTCGTGCTCTTGGCCAAATAACATAAGACACTTTTTTTTTAAATATTTATTTTCTTTATGAGCATTGAGCTAAATAAGACATTGTAGTGGCTCGTTGTGCCACAAGTCCAGTAAAAACTAAATAATTAAATGGTACTTTTTATATATGGGCACATATATAGTTGATTTATTCACGTTACGTCAGTTGGGCTCCTTACTAACTAAATAACCTCTAAGATCTAAAAACTAGTCATCGTTACAAAACTAAATTCATATGTATATAAATGTATTTAACAGGCAATTTTCTGGTATATTGTTTAGCTTTTGCTTCTGTATGTACAAATCGCTTAAATCTAGTTAGGTGTATATATCGTATATAGTCGGGGATCTGGATCACACAGAACAATGAGGACAAAGTACTTGGTTGTCTGTGATGTGGTGATGCGAAAATTGCTGCTTTTTTTATTATATAATGTATTGCAGGACGTGTTTTCTTCTCCATAACAAGCCATTTCAGTCTTAGCGTTTCAAGTAACCAAAAAGATAAAAGTGTATAATGAAATGAAAAGAACAATAATTAAAAGTAATAAAACGAATAAACTTAGGGCTAAAATTTTGTTGTTTTCCTTGTGTGGTTTCATAATGTGTGTTTTGTTTATTTTTGTTTTGTTTTCTTTATTTTGCAGTTGCAGTAAATTTCGAAACAATGGTTTGCTTGGATGCTTCACGCCTCAAAATTCATCTCTTTTCATTTTTATAAGGTTTTTCGTTTTTGTTAACATAAATCTAGTATCATTTATATAGATGTAGACGATCACACAGGCATACAGGTAAACATATAAATCTATCGTTTTCAAAAATTCTTTACAGTCGAACATAAAACATTTTAAAAAGTCAAACATAGAAGTTAAGATTTTGAAATTCCATCAAGTTGACTTAAGACAAGACATACAAATTCGGGCTTGGCTTAGTAGAAGTAGTTATAAGCCCAACTATCTCATTTTTCTTTGAGTAAACCTCAAGTCAATGGCACATTAAAATTGGGATATTTGTACCAGGTATATAAGCTTAGGTC